CTGGGCCTGGGCCAGGTGAGGTGCCCCCTCGCCCTGGGGGGAGCTGGTACCAAGGAGGTTGAGTTTGGGCCTCCGCTGCATTCTGGCCCAGATAAGTCAGGATGCCCAGTGCTTTCTCTTGCCTTTCCTGAGGGGGCCAGAAAATAGAAGAGATGGGGTACAGTCCTTTCAGTTCTTGGAGCCCTGGGTGTGTCAACAGGGAAACCCAGGACCTCTGTCCCCTAAGCCCCAGGTCCTGGGGAGGCAGAACCTGTCACTTAACAAATGGGACTCACAGGCTAATAGTGAACTAGCTATGGCAGCTGCTGGGGGTATAGCAGACCCATAGGCTGAGCTCCCACCCTAGGGGACAGTAGTAGGTGCAGTAGTATTCTCGGAAAGGTGAGGATGGCGTGGAGCTACCTGAGTTCAAAGGCAGGTGGCTTGTGAATAAAAACCCAAAGTAAGCAAAGCAGAGGAGTGGTGGCAAATAGCTTAAATATCAGGCATGGTGGTGTACTCACACCTGTAATCTTAGCATTTGGGAGGCTGAAGCAGGAGGACTGCCAGTTAGAGGCTAGCCTGGGCTACATAGTGAGACTCTTGTCTCAAAATAAATAAATAAAAGAAATGAGAGCTTAAGCCTTCTCACATTCCCATAGGGTCAACCTCAGATGGGGCTAAGGGTGCTCATATCTACTAACAAGACCTGTGAGTGCCCCACAGCAATAAGCAACATCAGTTCTAAATGTCCTATGTGGTCTCATTCACTACTACACCATCTTTACATTCTTTAGCCATAGTTGAGGACCACAATGACCCCTTCCCACAGCTCTACCCTATGATTCCTCCAACAGGTTGAGGCCAGCTTACCTTCTCCTGTCGCTTTTCTTCCTCGTACTCTTTATTGCCTCTGATCACCCCTTTTCCTTCCTCCAGCAGCTCCCGAAACAGATCCACAGGGCCAGAACTTGGAGCTTCTGACTCTACTGCTTCAAGCTCAGTAGAGTTATGATGCCTGGCTTTCTTCCGTAGGAATTCTGTGCGGGCCTGGGAGTAGCCAGGGAAAGAAAGTTACAGGCAGCACATTCAGAACCTAGAGTGGTGTGGTGCTGACTGCAGAAATTACAGCGGTTCACTGTGCTGGGGGCTACAAGAAAGGGACCACAGGGCACTGCAACCCAGGAGAGGCACCTGTTCCACCCCGGGGTGGAAATGAGTGTTTTCAAATAATAAACCATGGGTTATCAAGAATACGTGGGAGGAGATCCCTGGTCTAAACCAGAAGGGTTCCCAGTCTGGAGTGATGATATAGAAACAGCTATACGACTTCAGCGTTGCTCAGTGCTAGATCTCTTGCTTAGTATGTATGAGGCCCTAGGTTCAATTCCCAGCAACACAAACAACAAAAACAGTTTATAAAAGCAGCCAAACCGGGCTTCAAAGGCAAACGATCTGAATTTCAGGTGTAGCTCCAAGTCACTATTCAATTTCTACCAATAAACGTGAATTTCAAGAGCCAAAACTACCTCCCAACTACTATTGAGAATCAGATTAGCCGAGGGACTGAAAGTTAGGTGTAAACCAAACATTATGTAACTATATAAAGAAAGTCTCTGGCCGCTCCCCTGTAAACCTAGGTACTCGAGAGGCAGAGATCAGGAGGATCGCAGTTCGAGGCCAGTCCCAGGCAATGAAAGCGAGACCCTACCTAAAAAATACCCAACACAAAACGGCTGGAGGAGTGCCTCAAATGGTAGAACGCCTGTCTAGCAAGACTGAGGCCCTGAGACCAGTTTGGCAAAAAAAAAAAAAAAAAAAAGAAAGAAAAATGTGTGTGGTGGGAGAGCAACGGGGGACAGGGTCTTGTCCACACTTCTCTCTAAAGCCATCTCACTTCTCGGTGCAAGACTATGACAGCTCCTCGTTAAGAGCACCGCTGCATGTTATGAGGGATTTCGCGTCAAACGCTCTACAAGGAGCGAGCACACAGAAGGTGCTCAATGAATAAGTGGTGCAAACGAACTAAAAAGTAATCACATTTTCCTCGAACAGTACACTGGTTCCTTTATTTACTCAACGGATACTTATTAAACTTACACTCTGCGCTAGGGTCTCTGCATTTGAAATACCAGGGTGGGGAACCTAGACTAGGGCGAGATCAACCGAGGTTTCCTGGAGGAGAGCGGAGGGCTCGCAGAGAAAAGACGCCAGAAACATCCGCCGCTTCTGCACCCGTTTACACTCGGGCATTCGCGCCTGCGCAGCACCCCACTTGCGATTCCTGCAGGCGCGATTGGCAGTGTGAGCTCCGCCTGACTGGACTCGGATCTTACCTCTTGCTGAGCGAGCAGCACTCTCCGCTCACGCTCCTTCTCCTCCTCTCGGGCCTGGGCCTCGTCACGCCGCACGCGAGCAACATTATCCTTGTTCCGGACGTGCCAGCTCTTCTTGGGCAAGATATTCATGGCGCTGTAGCTATCCACCGACTGTCAGGCCCGCCTTCTAGCACTTCCTATTGGCAAGAGGATGCCCCTTCCCTGTTGTCCCCGTCTTGTCCACGGATTGGTTCTGGGCTAATTAGCACGTCCCCTTCAGGTGTGCTGCGAAAGTTAATTGGCTGACACGCTCTCCAGTACAGCCAATCACAGGCGCTCAGCGCGGGTTATCACCTAGCGACCCCTCTTACCCGGGTTCTGAATCAATCTCAAGTGGCCCCGCCCCGGACGCTACCGTATATGACCGCCGATTGGCTAGCACGCCTGTCTAGTCCTTTGGCGGAACAGCACTTCCGGGAGACACTCGCCAATATTGGCGAGTACCCTGCCGAAGCCCTGTCCCTGGCTTCAGGAATTAGGTTTCAAAAGCACTCAGCAGCATTGGCGGTTTTTATTGATATAATTAAGAGGTTCAGTAGAGAGTAAAGGAATTGGCGGCTCAAGCCTTGGAAATCTCCGGATTTTATACATGACGTAGCGGAGGCTTACAAAGGGGCTGGGGGGTAGATCAAGGACTTGAAAGTAGGTCGTCATCTGGATCCAACGTGGTCAAAAAGCCCGTTGGTCGAGCTCAACGCCACAGCGCGCTGTGCCAGGAAGACTTTATTCCGCGCTTCCTGGGATAGAGACAGGTGGAGGTGAGACACACCTCCTCTCCCCCAAGTCAAGAACCCCTTCCCAGGGACCGGCCTATCTCACTGTCTCAATCTGGCGTTTGAGCTCAGAGATGAGGCGTCCATAGGAGTTAGCCAGAGCCACTGTATATGCCATCAGGATGCTAGGAGAGAGAGGAATTGAAGTCACATCTGAAAAGGCTTATATTATCTTCAAGCTACGGCTCTGTAGAAACCAGGAACTGAACCTTCAAAGCCCCTCCCCCTCTCTCTAGCCTTCCAGCTCCTCCTCCCTCGGAATCAGGAATCCAGGCCGAAGCCTTCCTCCTTCAGCCCCAGGAATCCGGAGCCCCAGCCCGACGCGCCCCCAGATCTCAAAAATTCAAACTCAAACCCATTAGTCTGGGCCTCCTCACCTGGAGATCAGCAGAAGGGGTATAGCAAAAGCTTGGGTCCCCAAAAAGAAGAGGAAGTTCTGGGCTGTCTGAGGGAGGCTCTCAATGGACTCAGGGATCTGGCCCAGATGGAAGACTTGCCCTGGAATGGACCGCACACCTTAGAAGGTGGGATCCTAGAGGTGGAGACAGGATGGGTTCAAGTATGTCCAGAGTTAGAGCCCGGGATGGAGGCAAAAGGAGGGCGGGAGGCAGGAGTGTCTGCCACTTACACGAAGATGCTGTAAAGCACGGGAATAGCAGAGAGGACCAGGCCCAGGAGAAGGACCACGGGGAAAAAGAAATTTGCTGTGGAAGCTCGGAAGGTGCGGGAGGCCGGAGAGCAGGTGGAGAAGAGAGTGAGCTGACAGAGGAAGAAGAAGAAAAGGGGATCTGAGACCCAAAAGTCCCCCACGTCTTCTTTTTCCTCATCCGGGAGTCCCTCCCTCTTCCCTCACCAGGCAGGACCCAGGAATCTGGGCCCCCATCGCTCAGACCTATAAGTCGAGATACACTGGATCCCTCCTTCCCCCACCCACGACCCTGCCCTCTAGCGCTCTCCTCCCACGGGACCTAGCAGCCAGAGTCCCCAGCATCCTCCTTCCCCAGACCCCCTCACCTTCTTCAGATAGAAAAGCAGTAGGAACTTGACTGTGTTGAGCAGAGGCAGTAAAGGGCAGAAAAAGCTCCCCACCCAGACTACAGTCTGCGAATATATGAGCCTCAGCACCTCGTCTGGCACCTGGAACTCCTGGTTTCCCGCCAGACGACACAGTGCCCCTGGACAGAGGCCACAGAATATCCTGAGGGACGGGACGGAGCGATCAGAGGCGTGCTGGGGAAGTTTCCCCGCCCCACCGTCCTGCTCCAATCAAACAGGGTCATTAAGGGGCGGGGCTTTTCAAGGTCACGTGGATTCGGGTGTGCTCAGGGGTGGAGCCTGAGGACTACCAGGCTAGAGGTACCAAGGCGGTAGGACGCGGGCAGAGGGAAGTAACTAAATAACATGGATGTCGGGACCTGTGGACTTAGAGCAAGAACAGGGGGAGTCAGAGGTGGGGATAAGAAAAGGGGTGGAGCAAAAGGGGAAGGAGGACTACACCCTTGGGCAGGGCCACAGAGGGGCGAGGCTCTCACTTGCGAGGGAATTGGATGAACAGCATGACCGCCAGGCCAGTCAGTAGATCAAAGACCAGGAGTTTGTACATTTCTTGGCCCAACCGAGTCTCCCAGCACTGAAGAAGAAAGAAATGGGTGGGCAAGACCTCCAAACCCATGTACTCGGAGGCCCAAGCATCTGAGACTCCAAAACTAAAGTTTGTGAGACCCCACCCAGGCCTTCTCTGGGGGTTTTCAGTTTTTTCAAGCATCCATCCCATGTCCAGCATCCCAAGCTCCTCCTTCCTTCCAAGTCAAGGGGTTTGGACCACCCAGCTACTTCTTTCCCCCAGGGATCCTGGATTTCCAACTGCATATGGTGGTCCTACCTTTAGGCCCAGGAATGCCACAAGTGGCATTCTCACCCACAACATTCTCACCGGAAGTTCTTTGTAATTGTAGCCACAGGTCTTGCATGCTTCAGCCTCACGGTCGCCCCCACAAGTGATCTGATTCCAGAGAGAGAAGAGCAGGACCAGCAGGGAGGCGAGGCGTAGAAACACAGTCCTACGAGAAGAAACAAAGAAATGGACTTGCACTGACCCAACGCCCACCACAAGTCAGCTCCCTTCTACATGGAGTGCGCTCATGATTTTCCCTGCTTGATGGACGAGGCTACTGAGGCTCAGTGACAGCCTGGATTTGAATCCACAAAGCCCAGGATAGCATATCTGCAAGACTTCCTTATCTTATCTGAAGAACCCATGACCCTCAGATGGTTCCCTTCCCCGTTCTCCCAGCACCCCCATCCCATCCATCCCATCCCACAAGACTGGAACCTGAGCAGGATGAAAACGACCTGGCGGCTCCGGGTGAGGCCCTCCAGTGGGGCGATAAAGTTGAACACAAAAGGCAGCACGAAGTTGACCACAGAGATGAAGATTGATGGAAGATAATCCACCACAAGCTTTAGCAGCGGCGTCTGCTGAACAAGGGTCATCTCCTGGGAGGGAGGGTGGTCCAAGGAAAGTGGCATGCTTAAGGTCCTCCACAGCCTTTTCTTCCCTCAGGACCCAAAAGTCCCTGGTCCAATCCACATCCCCATGCCGCCTAAGATTCCAGGAATCCTAGACCTCATTCTCCTCTCACGGCCTTCCATCCTTGGAATTGTAGGTACCAGAACCCCAGGGCTCTCCTTCCCCCAAGACCCTCTGCACCTGCAAATCCACGGTGTACCCTGTAGCCCAGTAGATGCCGTAGAAGGCCGCCCCCAGGAGCGCTAACACCAGCAGGTTGAGCAGTAACCGCACCAACCACACCTTGGCTCGCTGGCCCATTGTCTGCGTTGCAGCCTGGCGCCAGACCAGTGCTTCCTCCAGCTCCACCTAAGGCCAGGAAACAGGTCTACATGGGCTCCAAACCCGTCTGAATGGGTTCCTGTATGATGATCCTGAATCTCCCCTCAAATTGAACTGATGTAGCCCTCCCATGCTCTAACGATCTCTACAGACCTATGCCCCACGCCCTCCTGGCTGTCCTTGGGACCACTTGGATCTTTTGGCAGGCCCCTCCGCGGCCCCGCCCTGCACCTAAGCCCCACCCCTCCTCGGTCCAACCCAGAATCCCAGGTCCCGCCCTGCACTGCTTACCTGGAATTCTAGTTCAACTTTTTGAAGCCCCGCCCTCTCTGGCCACGCCAACCATCTCACTGAACCAAGGTATTTTAACACCCCTCCCCCAAGGACTTTTTCCTGCACCCTTTGACCTCTGGCTTCCCTAGCGTGGCCTTTTCTTAGCCCTGTCATATCCCAAGACGGCCTCCTCAGAAGAAAGGGCTGCCTCGCTTCTCTCTGGAAGCCCTGTTGCCGGCCAAGGCCAGCGTCTCATCTCAGCCTGGACCAGCCACCCCAAGCGCACCTGCAACTCATACAGGATGATGCGCTGGCGCAGCCGCACGTTTTCCTTCCCACAGAGGCCAAAGTCCCAAGCCGAGAACACGCGGTGGCTGTAGCTGGTCAGAGCCCCAGACTCAGCCAACAATGTCTGCTTCAGCCCGGACACCGACCTGAGAAAGGAGAGACCCAGAAAACAAGAGTTTGTGGGAAAACAACCATTAGTGGGGGTGAGGCACCTTTTTTATAGGACAAATCCAAGATGAATTCTAAGGCCTCTGGTATATTGCCAGCTGCCACCTGATGGAGAGTCAAAGAGGCAGGAATACATAAGGTCATTTGGACCAAAGGCCAAGAGACGTTTAGAAGTAGACCTGGGGTGCACACATCCAGGAGACTCAGAAACCTAGGACAGAGTGACAGAACTTCACAGAATGGGGAGGGACATGGGAAGGAAATAGGAAAAGGGGGCAGGTAAAGACACTCAAGAGAGGGGTCAGAGGCCTAGAGGGCCAGAAGGGGCAGGGACAGAGATCCAGGGAAAGGATAGAGAACCAGAGAAAGGGACAGAAACAGAACTGGGCAAAGAGATGAGGTCCACCTTCCTTGCTCTGACCAAGGCCTATCCTCTCTCCACAGAACACCTCAAAAACAACCTACCCATTTGGGCACCAGTGCACCAGTGGCTCACTCCTGTAATCCTTGCTACTCAGGAGGTAAAGATCAGGAGGATTGAGGTTCAAAACCAGCCCAGGCAAATAGTTCTCAAGACCCTGTCTCAGAAAACCAAAACCAAAACCAAAAACAAACTCTCATCACAAAAAAAAAAAGGGCTGGTGGAGTGGCTCAAGGGCTAGGAGCACCTGCCTAGCAAGCATGAGGCCCTGAGTTCAAACTCTAGTGCCACCAAAAAAAAAAAAAAAAATCCACCAACCCCAAACTGAATTCTGGATATTCCCTAACAAGTCTGCTCATTCTCAAAAGATGTTAACTCCATGGTTCCGGTTGCTCAGGCTAAAACAGAAAGTGTTGAGACACAGTCTGGCTATGTAGCCCGGATGGCCTCAAACTCTCCATCCTCCTGTCTCAGCCTCCCAAGTGCTGGGATTTCAGGCATGCACCACCACACCTGGCTTCCCAGGGAATCATTCTTCCATTTTTGTACCACACCCTTCATGAAACCAATTAGGAAATCCTTGCCCCTCAAAATAAATCCAGAGTCTCCATTTATATAAAGTGCAAAAACAGGCCACAGAGTGTGAATGGAAGGATGGTGGTTTTTCTGTGTGTAGACTATAGTATTGTATTTTGTGCCATCTTTCTTGATACCAACATGAGCTTGCCAAACTCTACCTTTTTATTTGTGTACTCTTTCCAGATATGACAAGTGCCTTTTTTTTTAAATTTTGCAATACTGATATATGACATCAGGACCTCATATTTGCTAGGCAGGGGCTCCATCACAAACACCACCATTGTTGCTCTAGTTATTTTTCATGTAGGGACTCGTGCTTTTTGCCTGGAGCTGGCCTCAGATCAAGAGCTCCCAAGTAGCTGGGATGACAGTTGCATATCACCACACCCAGCTTTTTTGTTGAGATGGTGACTCACTAACTTTCTGCCTAGGCTGGTCTTGAACCCCCATCTTCCAGATCTCTGCCTCCCCAGTAGCTAGGATTACAGGCATGAGTCATCTTGCCCAATGACATGTGACACTTTTAAAAACTGAAAACTAAATCCAAAATTGACTCTTTGTCACCACCTTACTTCTGTCACCTAAATCTAAGCCACCATCTGTAATCTGGATTATTGTAGCACTCTTAACACACACACACACACACACACTCCTTCCCTTTCTCCCTTTTTCCTCTCCTTCTGCCTCCCTCTCTTTTCCCACAAACACACAAGCAAATTCTTTTAAAACCTGAATCAGATCAAGATGGTGTTTATTCAAGAACCCACAAGGGCCAGGTGCCAGTGGCTCATGCCTATAATCCTAGCTACTCAGGAGGCAGAGATCAGGAGGATTGAAGTTCGAAGCCAACCCCAGGCAATTAATTCTTTGAGACCCTATTTCCAAAATACCTAACACGCTGTTGGCGTGGCTCAAGGTGTAGGCCCTGAGTTCAAGCCCCAGTACCGCAAAAGAAAAAAAAAAAAAAAACTCACAAGGATTCCATCCAAACACTCCAGGCTCGCTCCTGCCTGGTTCTGGCCATAGCCTCTGCCTGGAATAATCCATCCCCGCCCCAGGCATTTGCTTGGCTGAAATTCTCACCTCCCAGATATCATTACTGAAATGCCTGCCATGTTCTCAATGAAGCTCTCTTGGACCACCTATTAGTACAGCAGCCCATCAGGCATTACTGTTCATCCCCCTGGCCCATTGCCCTGAGCAGCTTCCAACAGTGGCTCACAGCCTCTGGCCTGTCTCTCCTTTCTACAATGTAAGCTCCACCTGCCAAGACTTTTGGTTTGGTTTGTCTGTTTCACTCAGTATGGAATCCCAACTGTTTACAGCAATGTGTGGCACACAGCAGGTGCTAAGTAAATTTTGTTACACAAATAAATGAATCACCTCTATATATTTACTATATAGCACTGTTACCCATTGGAAACATGCAATTCATGAGCTCATTTAATATCTTACCTTCTACACTGAACTCTAAGTCCATGGGGGAAAAAAAACTTGCCATTTTGTATTCCTCGCCTTGACCTTTACACATGAGATGCATTTTTTCTTTCTTGCTTGCTTTCTCTCTCTCTTTCTTTCTTGTGGTACAGGGGTATGTACTCAGGGAGCTTGCTAGGCAATTACTTTCCCACTTGAGCCATACCCCACACCCCCAACCTTTTTTGCTTTGGTTATTTTTGAGATAGGGTCTCACATTTTTAAATTTCTTTTTTCTTTTCTTTTCTTCCCACCCACACCCACACCAACTCATTGGATGGTACAGGATTTGAACTCAGGGCTTCATGCTTGCTAGGCAGGTGTTCTACTCCTTGAGCCACACTTCCAGCCCAAGGTCTCGAATTTTTGCCTCAGTGGCTTGGACTGAGATTCTCCTACTTATTCTTTCTTCATAGCTGGGACTCCTGCACCATGACGCAAAACTTTGTGTGTGTGTTTGTATGTGTTACTGGGATTTGAACTCAGGGCCTCGCACTTGTTAGGCAGGCACTTTACCACTTGAACCACACCTCAGCCCTATGTCCACTATTTTTGTTGTTTAGATGGGGTCTTCTTAACTTTTTATTCAGGCTGGCTTGGAATCTTGATCTTTCCCTAATTCCCGAATAGCTGGAATTACAGACATGACAAACCTAGGGCCTTGTGCACAGTAGGCAAGGACTTTACCATTGAGCAACAGCCCAACCAAGAAGGATCTTAAAAAATAGAGCACTTGGCTGGTGGAGTGGCTCTAGTGGTAGAGGACCTGCCCTAGCAAGCATGAGGCCCTGAGTTCAAACCCCAGTACCGCCAAAAAAAAGGAATGCTGGGTGCCAACGGCTCATGCCTATAATCATTTAATCATTGCTACTTAGGAGATTGGGAGGATCACAGTTCAAGGCCAGCCCAGGCAAATAGTTTGAGAGACCTCATCTCCAAAATAATAAGAGCAAAATGGACCAGAGGTATGACTCAAAGCAGTAGAGCACCTGCTTTGCAAGTGTGAATCCCTGAGTTCAAACCCCAATCACCCCCCCCTCCAAAAAAGAACCAAAAGAAAAGAAAAGGAAAAAAAAGGAGAGGAAAACTCTTGGGGAGGGGTCTTCAACTACCACATCTTGCTCCCCTCCAGCCAGGTGGTCGGGTTGTGGGGGTCACTGACCGATGCAGGATGAGCAGCAGGCAGATGAGGCCAATGGCAAAGACTGAGCACAGGTAGGTGACTGCCACATTGGAACGGGGTGGGTAGAACCCATAGAACAGAGGGGACCATTCAAGGTAACCCTAGGGAGACAAGGGCAGAGCAGTGGTCACTGTAGGGCAGGTGGAGGCAGGGGGCAGGAAGCTGGGCAATTAGGGTGTGCAGGTTACAGCTTGAGAACAGGTCATTGAGGACACTAGGGCTCATAGGTGCCAGGGGCAGGGCGGTGTCCTCCCAGGGAACCTGGTACCCACCTCTCCAGAGAGCAGGTTGAAGAGCTGTGAGGGGAAAGAGACCAGGCCCTGGGTGTGGGTGCTGTAAGAGCCGCAGGAAGAGGAGATATTAGGGCGAGGGGATTCCAGGGGAGCCCCTTCCAACCAGGTGGGCAGCAGCGTCATGCAGACTTCAAGCACAGATGCCATCATGTTGAGAAACAGCAGGAAGCGCAGAAGGGAGAAGTAGGACTCTGTGCCTGCACCAAACTGACCTGCAGGGGGCAGCAGTGAGGGCTCAGGATCCTTATCTGGTGCAGCCAGGTCAGAGTTCAGGTGGTTAGGGTCCCAAGTCTCCTGCCTCAGTCCTCCTCCCTCACACCTAGGGGTCAGGCTCCAGCCCTCCTCCCTCAGACTCCACCACACCCCCAATCCTCTTCAGCGTCCATGCCCAGGGCTGGAGGGTTTGCAAGCCTTCCTTCATCTTTTCCTTAGACTTGGAAACCTTCAGGGCCCAGTGGGAAGCCTTAGATTCAGAGCTGTCCGCCACTTGGTCCTTGGCCTGACTCTTCCTGGAAGGGAAACAGTCAGAAACAGACAACGAAGAGATCCCAACTGGGAACCACCCTGAGGTAGAAACACCCAATATAACAAAGGACCTAACTTATGGCACACTATAGTTCCCATAATGTGGAATATTTGGTAGTGACAAAAAAGAGAAACAAATATAACCTATTCAGGAACAAACAGAAAAGGTAGCCTCCAGTGTCTGAGGCACCAGGATCACTTGGGAAAACAAACAAACAAACAAAGATAGAGCCAGGCTAGCCAGGCTGAAGAAGGAGGATGAAGAGTTTGAGGCTACCCTAGGCTACATTACAAGACTGTCTCAAAAAAAAAAAAAGAAAACCAAAATGTCTACAAGATTCTGTTGACAAAATTCTGATCGAGCTCAATGGAACTGAGCTCCAGAAAGATACAGCCTGGTGGAAAAGCCATAAAGATAACAAGGAAGCGATCTCTTAAAGTCAGGGAAGGAGTTATGTGGTGGGGAGGAATGGTGTCAGGGATGTGTGAGCCTCACCTGTGTGCCCGTCTTGCCTGCATAGGCCATGGCAGTTCCCGAGATGGGTGAGGATCCTGTAGCTCCACTGGGGCAGCACCTGCAAAGGACTGGAGGCTTCTTCCTCCATCTTCCTCCTCTTCCAGTGTCCCCCACGGCACCACACCAGGGCCACGGTACCGAAGAGTAGCTGCACTGGGGAGCTCATTCAACACAGAGGCAAGTGACCGGCCTGGGCAGGAGAGCAGAGGGCTGAGGACCCAGGGGTCCAGGCCCCAGCCCTCCCCCCTCAGACCCAGGAGTCCATACCCCAGCTCTCCTCCTTAGACTCAGGGATCCAGACCCCAGGTCTCCTTCCTGAGACCCAGGGGTCCAGGCCCTAGTCTCCTTCCTGAGATGCAGGGGTCCAGGCCCCAGACCTCCCCGACTCCTAGACTCCCCCATCCCCCAGGCTCCTTCTATGCTATGGTTGAGGAATTCAGGTTTCAATTTCCTTTTGACCCTTGCCCCTCCTACATCTGAGACACTAGAGTCCCAGCCCCTGGCCCTCTCTTCCTGCAAGACAAGAGTCTAGGTCTCCAGCTTTCTTCTCCTCAGATCCAGGTGTTCCACCCTCCAGTTCCCTTCTCAGTAAACCCTTTGGCCTTTTGTTCTCAGGACACAGCTTCCCCTCCTCCCCCAGGCCCAAAGTTTGGATAGACCTAAACTCTTCTGGCTCTCCCACCTCCTCTGGTCTCCTGGGGGTCTGGCCACCCCCCAGAGGGGCCCCAGGCTTCTGCTATCCAGGTTCGGCTTCCTTCCATGGCCCTAGACAGTTGTTTCCGTCTCTAGTGGCCCCCAGGGCGGGGACTGCACTAGATAAAGGGAGGGGCCTGGGGCAGGGCTATACCTGGCCACCAGGTGGCCTGAAGAGAATACAACACACTTCCCGTAACTCAGGGCCACTGCTGCGAAAGTTCTTCTGGGAACTGAAGTCCTGAGCAGGCTGGTCTGCTTCCGGAACCCAGGGCAGGGGCACATCACACCAGCATTGGCTGGGCTAAGCATTCCTATCAGTTTACTGTCCACAGATACTCTCACAAACAGATGCCTGTGCGATACTTTATTGGGAAAGATTTACACATTTTGACTTCTCAGGCCAAGGATGACAGGAGGGAGGCAGGTGCACTGGGGCCTGGAAGTGGCTCTGAGGGAACCTGCAAGAGTGCATTCACCAGGCTGATAGCCTGCACCTTACTTAGTCTCCCCTTTAGGACCTGGACGGTCATGTTGCCTTCCATGTCTGAAATACTGGTTTGATGAGATAAAAATGGAGCAAGACACAGGAAGCGAGTCCCCCATATCCCAGAACCAAGGCTTGAAACTGTTCCCAAACTGGGGATCCAAAGAGGGCATTTGTCCCAGAAACCACATCACCGTTGGCCCCTGCCTTGGCGTTCTGGGTTAAGTGCAGCTCTCTCAACACTGGTCGGCTGGAGTAGGGCCAAAGGGATCCTGGTGTGGACAACATCCTGATTTCAGAGCACGGAGAAGTGGCCTGTTGGAGGTGCAGGTCAGGTCAGGGAGTTGGGAGAACTCTTGTGAAGGCAGGGTAGTTAGCTGGACCAGACAGAATCCTTTCCAGGCTCCCAGCCAAAGGATGGACTTTTGCTGGGGAAGGAGACAGCAGTCTGTTCACAGAATTCTCAGGGAAAAGCTTGGAGGCTGGACTGGCTGGCAGAGGGGACATGGTACGGCTCACTCCTCACGGAGCTTTTCCCGGGAAAGGCTGCTGGCCTGGGCTGCTGTCTTCCGCCGGCTGGGGCTGCCCCCACCCAAAGCTAGCCCCAGTCCTAGGCAGGCCAGGGCCAAAAAGTGGATGCAGAAGTATATAGAGGCCCAGTACCGGAGCGTGTCACCCATGGAGAGGAGCACAAAGCCCATACACATGTAGTCATAGGCACGCATCTTCAGGAACCAGTGCACCCAGTCCCAGACCCGCTGGCCCCCAGGGCTCAGCCGTCCCCGCAGGGCTGACTCCAAATAGCCCTCAGCAGCCAGGCACAGCGGGATAGTCAGGAAACTTAGGTAGTAGCCAGGGTGCAGGCCATGCCAGTAGGCACTCAGCAGCATGGTCCAGGCACTCCTGGGGGAAGGAAGGGAGTGGGGAATCAGGACACAGAAATCCAAGCTCCAGCCCTCCTCCCTCAGACCCAAGAGTCCTATTCCAGGATTCAGAAGCTCCCAGCAAGGCTAACCAAGGCCCTATCCTCCTGTAAGGATCTACTGCCTCACATTCAAGGCCCTTCCTCCCTTAGAACCAGGAAGTCCAATTACGTAGCCCAGTGATTCTCAAAAGCAGGTCCCTGGTTCTGCATCAGCATCACTTCAGAACTTGTCAGAAGCACCGATTTTCGTGCCCCACTTACCTGTATCAGATACCCTGGCCATGAGGGAAATCTTTGATATGACATGTCCCCTGGTGATCCTGATACAATGGTTTGATTGAGATACTGCCCATCCCAGGCCTGGGGTTCAGGAGTGCTGTTCATTTCCCCTCAAGAACCACCTTCCCTCAGTCTGGGAAACAGAAGTCCTCAGCTGCCCACCTCTCTACAAAATGCAGGCCCTGCCTTCCTTCACAGAGCCAGAACTTCAGGTTCAGTGGTAGAGGGCTAGCCTAGCATGAGGGAGGCTCTGGGCTCAATCCCCAGTATCACAAAATAAATAAAGCCAGGATTATGGTAGCCTGACCCATTTCCTCCTTTGCAGGACCCAGGAGTCTCTACTTCTGTCTTTCTAGGAACCCAGTTCATATCCTCCCACCACTCCTTTTCCTCTGGAAACTGAGATCACAGCCTCTTGTTTTATGGATTCAGGAGAGTAATTCCTGACTTGTGAAAACTTGGAACTCTCCAGCCATGGTCCCTTCTTTGCCATCCTAGACGTTTGGTACCCTCTCTGGACTCAGAAATCTAGTTTCCTAGGTTTTCTTTGTTGTTGTTTTTGATTTTTTTTTTGGAGAGGGGAAGGGGTGCGGCACTTAGACTTGAACTTAAGGCCTCATGCTTGCTAGGCAGGTGTTCTACCACTTGAGCTATGCCTCCATCCTTACCTAATTTCCTAGCTCTTGAGCCCAACAATTCAGTTTCTTCCCCCTCTGCCAAGAACAGAAATCAATCTCCACCTCACCTCACCACCAGGTGCACAGTGGCTTTGCCAGGACTGTGACCTTAAGGGGTTCTTCAGTGACTGGGGGCTTGAAATACAAAAATAACCTAGTGATGCTGAGCATCACACCTGTAATCCCAGTACTGGGAATGTGGAGAAAGGAAGATGGCACATTTGAGGTCACCATGGGCTGGCTACATACTGATACCCTGTCTTAGAAAACAAAATAGGCTTGTGGAGTAGCTCAAGAGGTAAGAGTGCCTGCCTAGCATGCGTAAGGCCCTGAGTTCAAATCCCAGTGCTGAGGGGGGAGGGTTATGAAGAAGAACAACAAAAAATCCCCTATTGGCAGAATAATGCTGACCACCCCATCCTTGGGGTTAGGTAAACAAGAAGGTCAAATCCTGTGCATTGTTTATGTCTAGGAGCACCCTGGCTTCCACCTGTTTTAGGTCAGTGGCCCTCCAGTTATAACAAAAATGTCTCCAGGGGTTGGGGATGTAGTTCAAAGGTATAGTGCTTGCCTAGAATTCTCGAGGTCGTGGGTCCCAACACTAGAAAGGAAAAAGCAGGCCGGTGGAGTGGCTCAAGCAGTAAGAGTGCTGCTGCCTAGAAAGGAAAGTCTCCCAGTGTTGCCACACCCTGATGTGTGGCACAATCACTCCCAATTGAGAACCGATTTAAACACTGGAGTGCCCTGGGCTTTGACCTGATTCTCCTCCGAAGGCTTTAAGTGTTATCTATACCAGATGACCCTCAAGGGTCCACTTCCTGTTTTTTTATTTTTGGCGGCACTGGAGCTTGAACTCAGGACAGACAGAGTTCAAGCTAGGCAGGCACTCTACCACTTGAGCCACTCCACCAGCTCCTTATTGTGATGGTTTTTTTTTTTTTTTTTTGTGAGATAGGGTCTCCCAAACTATTTGGGAGACTGGCTTTGAACCACAGTCCTCCTGATCTC